CTGGGAAGCTTCGTGATATGGGATTGAATCTTTACGGGAGGTCAGTTCCCTCAAATTTATAGGTAACGCTTGCTAACAAGTGTCAAATAGCAACACACTTAAGTCTATAGTATGCTGTTGGGTACCTCTAATAGTTACCATAATACTAATTTAGTCATTATACTCACTCTTTCTAGGATTGATTTTCTGTGTTAACACAATATTACTTACTTCACTTACTTATGCGTGCTACCCGTTGTGGAGCATAGGTTGACGACCAGAAATCTCCGACCTCTTCTTTACTGGGTTCTTTTTCTCAGTTGTTACCAACTGTTGTTCATTATTTTGTTATCTGCCTCCAACCCCCCCAAACACAGTAAGCTTTTTTGTTTACCTCCTTTTCTTTTCTCTTCAGGATTCAAAGTTAGCTTTTGCTTTGTGATGAGGTGTGATGATTACCGTAATGTGTGTTCTATCCAGCTGCAGCGTCTTTTCCTAATCTCTTCATTATCTGGGAGCTGGTTTTCTCGTTATCACAGTAAGTTGTTACTTATAGTTTTTAACCAATAAATAGAGAGTACTTCGGGATGACAATTGTTAATAAGTACCTGTACCTTTTTTGATGATGGTTGTTGTAGTTCTTCAAGTTTCAACTCCATACAGTAGAACTCTCTTGACAGTTGTTTGGAAAGTTCTGACTTTGATGTTGGCTGACAGTTGTTCTGAGCTCCAGATGTTCTCTAGTTGTGGAAATGATCCCTTTGCTCTGTCAATCTTTGCCTTAACATCTGTATCAGATTCTCCTTGTATATAAATGATGCCGTCCAGATATTTGAATGCCTCCAGCCCTTCCAGAGCTTCTCCATAAAATGTGACTTGGTTGATGCTAGCTGTGTTGTACTACAGAACCTTGATTTTTCCCTTGTGTATATCGAGGATTGGTGGTGCAAAAGCCACTGCCAAAATAACTGTTTTCAACTCGATTTGTTGCAATGTATGGGATAGAAGAGCTAGTTCATCTGCGAACTTAGAACACAATATACCTGAATGATAATGTGAGCTTAGATTGTATTGAGTCCGTTAAAAGCGCTGTACTGATGAACTTAACAACCCAAATAAACAGATTATTTAGTCATACAATTTTCTCTTTCGCCCTTTTTTATATTGAGCTAGAGAAAAGTTTCATAAACAATTGTTACAAATAATTGCAACAAACTACTTGTCTAGTATTCAGCAGTATATTCTACATTAATTGGACAGCTATCAAATATTTATGTAGCAGCCTCTGCATCGATAGGCCACAACTTACACAAAGGAAAAAAGCAAGATCCTTAAATACAATGTGGAGGACGCCAAGCCAATCGCACTTGATGGAGGAACTCTGGAAGATGTGAAAACATTCACGTATCTGGGAAGCATCATTAATGAACATGGTGGATATGATGTAGATATAAAGGTGAGGATTGGCGAAGTAAGGACAGCATCTCTACAATTGAAGAACATATGGAACTTAAAACAACTGTCAACTAATTTCAAAGTGAGAATTTTCAATACGAGCGTCAACACAGTCCCATTGTACGGAGCTGAAACATGGAGAACTACTATGAGCATCGTCAAGAAGCTACAAGTATTTATAAACAGTTGTTTACGCAAAAATTTTCAACATTCCCTGACTGGATACTATCAGCAACAGCCTTCTGTGGGAGAGGACAGACCAGTCTTCAGCTGAAGCGGAAATTAGGAAAAGACATTGGAAGTGGATTAGACATACATTGAGAAAATCATCAAACTGCATCACGGTGCAAATGCTAACTTGGATTCCGGAAGGAAATCCGAAAAGAGGAAGGTCAAAGAACACATTACTCCGAGAAATAGAAGCAGATATGAAAAGGATGAATGTTAACTGGAAAGAACTGGAAAGAATTTCCCAGGACTGGGTTGCTTGGAGAATGCTGGTGGACGGTCTATGCTCCTTCGCGAGGGATAACAGGCATAAGTAAGTTAGTAATAAATATTTATATGCACTTCTTTGTGTTATTCTTTAGAGTTTATTCAAAATTAGTGTATTGTAAACCTTTTTAACTTTTTAAACAACAAAACATGGCATAGTTATTTTTTATGTCGGTAATCTTAATTGGTTTGCAGTTCAAGTGACCTATAAAATCGATTTTTATTTTCCATTGTCTTTGACATTTAATCACATTTTAATGAATAGTGATTTCATAACCTTATCAATTATTTATATTTGTTAACTTTAACAGTTCACTCTTATGACATTATAAAATGGTTTTATCCATGAAATTACTGATTGTCAACTGTTACTTTGCTTGATTCATTCGAAACCGACTGCTGATCAGTGAATTTTAAAATTAATCACTTCAGATGCAGTTTTGATATGTGTTAAGTATCTAGTCAATCCTCGTCTTCCATCCTTATCCTCTTCTCTGAATCATGGTGGTTCCTTTGGCGAGTACCTGTCTTTTATGGCTATATCATTCAGAAATTTAAGTAGTCTATATCTTCGACCTTAGTCATTTACTGTCCTCATCCAGTATTATTCATAAGCTACTATTTCATTTATGATTTAATTCATTATTCAGGGTTATAGGCTTTCAGTAGAGTTTTTGAAAACGAAATGCAAAGTTATTGACTTGTCAGTAAAAAGAATCTGGTCGTGAAGTGTTGATTTCGTTTCTTGTTGGAGGTGTGTAAGTGGTTTTCTCTGTCCTTTCGCCAACACAATCGAAAAGTAATTTTCCTTGAGGTACCTAAAAGTGAAACTACTTTAGGAGTGGTCTTAACTATTTGGGAGACTGACCTTAGAGCCTAACAGACAACAGCATGAAACCGGTCACATACAGCGTTTCTTTATGTAATGATGCGATAGCTTTGTAATTCGAAGGCCTAATCTTTGGAGACGGGAATCTGTGGAGCAAGATATGGTGTTCTATTATTGGGACTGATCTCTTCTAGCCCCCTCTTTTTATTATGAAGAAACAATATTGTTATCACTTCTGGTTGTCTGAGGTAAAATACTGATTACAGTCAGATCCCTAAAAAGTACTGTCCTTCTGGTGTATATTTTTGTATTTAACAGGATTATGTGATAACCCAGTAGGGGAAAATAACATGACATGATATTTTACGATTAGTAGTTTCTAAATCATGGGCTCATCTTCGCTAGATCACCATTAAACACAAAGAAACACTGAAAAGTTATTTCACCTTAGTATGGGATTCCTCTACAGTGCCCACCCACAACCTCCTCATAGGGTACTGAATCTAGGACCTTCAGTATTAAGTGTGAACGTTTAAGTTCAATCCATTGACGATATTGAGCAATCATATTTTATTCCCTCACAATCGGCATGGTTGAAATCTTGAAGTTAGTCATTATTATTATCATCATAAGTATAAGGTTTTGTGAAGATTACAGAATTGTCACAGTTTCTAAATTATTATCTGCTTACTGTATTTTACTAGAAAAAAATATATCAGTTCACCATGTAACTGAATCACGAACAAATCTTTTTTCCCGCAACAATTTTCTCTTCTCTCCTAATTATTCACAACCATGTATTTTATAATGATTGACTATCATACATTTTATTCACAATTTTCAGTTCTATCCATATCGTATTCCAGCTCCCTCTGTGTGTGTGTATGTGTATGTATATGCAGGAGTTTATTTCACTGCAGTTCTATCACTCACTCTCTTTCTCTATTCTTATTTATTCCTATCCCTGTCTCTTTAACTCTCTATCTTTCTCTTATTGATACTACTATATATGAATGTAAGTAATTTGTTGTGTTTTTTTCAAAAAAAAAAAGAAAACTACTGTTACATTTCATAATATGAATTAGAGTAGAGTAGGAAAATAAAAATAGCGGAAATTTCTTGTTTTCATTTTCTTTCCCTTTTTTTCCTTCTATAAAAAAAACTTTTACAAGAATTATATAAAACAAAAATCGTTTTATATTTCTTATCATTATTATCTCTTATATGTGTATATAGGAATTAAATTAACCAATCATAATTCAAATATTAATGACAAAAATTTTGATTGGTTGATTTCGATAATAATCATAATAATAATGATCATCATCATAATAATAATATAGTTGGATGATATCCAATAAATCTTTCTTTCTTTCTTTTAAATTGTATATTAACTATTTAAGTAGTATAGTTAAATTTCTTTTCATTTTATTTATCAATTATGAAAAGAATGTTTCTATATCTATATGTTTATATTGTATAAACTGAATCTATCATTGCTAGTTACTAATCTATATTCGTTTGTACTAATGAAGATTATATAACAGACAAATCATACATTCATGATGAAAATCCAAAAGTTTAACACTTCGTGGAAAGTATATTTATATACATATGTATATTCATCAATGAACTCTTTGTATCCGTCTATGTATTCGAATAACTAACTGACTTACATATAAACAAGTATATTAATTAATTTTTTTACACAATTGTATCATTGTTCATTGTGTCATTTTGTTTTAATTTTTTTCTTTTCGTATCCAACACATATTCATTCATTTAAATAAGTAACTAATCAAATAAAAAAAACAAAAAAAAAACAAAATGAAACTTTCATGAATCTATCAATCATTCAGTTTTATAGTTAATTAAGTTTTTAAAAAAATTTTACACAAAAAAAATTTTATAAAAACTAAAAAATCTGAATACGGATTATTATATATATAAGTGAAAGTGAAAGAATTTGATTTGTTACCCTGCAACAAAAAAAAAGAAAAAAAATTTGACCTGAGAAAAAGTAATTTAAATATTAAAATTGATAACCGATTTTTTTTTCTTTCTTTCTTCTTTTCGAATAAAAAAAAACAAAAAAATTTAATTGTAAGTTAGTGATAATGAATAATCATTTTATGTATAAATGGATTCTATGTATACAAACCAAACTGAACATGAAGAATCTGTGAAGAGAATATGTTATTAGTATCATTCATAAATTGAACATTGATTAAAAATAATAATCATGTCAAGTTTGAAATATTTATGGCCATCTACAGCATTTGTTTTAGGTAATTCAATGGGATTTAATACATCAAATGGGAATACATTTAATTCATCGAATACTTCATCATTTTCTTCGTCTTCTTCTTCTTCATCATCATCATCATCGTCATCTTCGTCATCATTTTCATCTGAGGTATCACAACATTTTATTAGTTCAATGAATTCTATTACTTCGAATGAATTAATACATTCTATAGCTAATTCATCAATGACACCAGAGATTGTTCAAAATTTAAATGATTTGAATACTTTAAATCATGATCATCTTAATCAAAATGATAGATTTCATCAAATGAATTCTTATTCACATAATGATATTAATAATAATAATGACAATAATAGTAATATTAGTGATAATAATAGTTTTACACACACACATGAACTTCCAGATCAACAACGACATCTTAAAATGGAAGAACGTGGTTCTTCCATACTGAATAAAAGTACTACTGTTAATACTTCTAATACTGGTAATGCAACATTAGGACGTTCTTGGTCATGTATAGACAATAACGATGATAATAATCATACATCTTTTATGCCTATAACTTGCAGTCATAGTTATGATGTTTCAAAGTGTCAATGTGTTAATGTAGTTGCTGCAGCAGCTGCTGCTAGTTATGCACGTTCTTGTTTATACCATGGTGTTGCTATGGCTGCGGCGTCATATAATAATTTCGATCCTTGTACAAGAACAATAACTACAACTAGTTTAACGAATTCACTTAGTACATTGAATAGTTCTACTAATATATCAAATATGAACTCATTATATCCAAAATCATTTTGTATTTCAACATCATTATCCTCATCATCATCTTCAACATTACCATCTTCATTAATGCCAGCCTATCATTCAATTCAAAATTCACGTGATTATCATCATCAAAATCATCATTCATTTTCATTTCCTGTAATGCAACAAACAAATTCAATGTTTTTACAACCTCCGCCACCACCACCATCTTGTCAACAATCAACCATGTTTGATTTTAATGCATTAAATCCATATCCTTACTCAAATTATCATCAACATATTGGGAATTCAAATTCAAATGTAGTGTTGGCTGCAGCAGCTGCACATAAACATGTGCAATACTTTCAGGGTATTTACTCACGTACTAAATCGAATAAAGCTAAAGGTAAGGTTTTGTTTTCAATTCGTTAAATGTTCAATATCAAAGATTATACATCTCTACTGAAATGTGTTCGTTGACTATTATCAGGCGACATCTAAAAAATGATGAGTTAGTACAGGATTTTTTGTGGTTGCAGAAATTTCATAGTTAAAATCATGAAATGATCTTAGCTAGATTATTATTGAAAACTAAAAATCACTAGACAGCTGTTTCTTCCTGGTTCATGACACCTTATAAATTTGATATCTGCAGAGGTTGCTGATCTTTATTACTGAGCAGTCCAATCTTACGACAAAATAGCCGTTCAATGGTTTCTCTTTTTAAATGATGATCTTCTTAAGGTTGGTTATGTGATCTACATAAATGTGTAAAAATAAATATTTAGTAACATAACTCAAGTTAATTGATAAGCAGAAGAGGGTTTTGTGAAGATTTTAGTAATTTTATATAGTTGAGATCATGAGTCAATTGAAGCAAGACCACTATGGAAAGTCTGTAAGCACTGATGGTGGGACTCCTCATGAGTGAGCATCCAAGGTCTTGCCTCACGAGATTCGAACCCAAGACTTATCGTTCGTTCGAGTCTTGCTAGGCGGGATCGTGGATGCGCACTTCTGAGGAGTCCCACAATAGGACGAAACAGCTGTCCAGTGCTTCCAGGTTTTCGATGGTGGTCTAGCTCCAATTGACTCATGATCTCAACTATATAAAATTAATTGATAATCACTTTATTCAACATTACATGTTAAGTACAATATAAAACTGTTATCATAAAATATTTCAGTAAATTGCTTTAATTCATCAAATAAGTCAAACATTATATTTATGTATACACATGAAGTAAATAAATAAACTGATTCAGAATTTAGTTTCTAAAGGAAAAGAACAATGATTGATAACATGTATGGTTGGTGATCTCTTACGACTTATCATTACATAATGCATGTATCAGATATAGTAATTTGTAGGGCCTTTTCTTTACTTCCGATTGTCCGTATCAATTTTAATGTATCGATTGCCAGTTCTATCAGTAAATGTGACTAGTTTAAATGATATATGTACGGTAAAACTACTATTCGTTAACTATCTGCTATATTTTAAATGTCCATACAGAACAAAATTCATAGTAACATCAAAGGGTTAACCATTTATGGTATTAATAAACCCCAATATTATATTTTCGATATTATATTTTCCTTAAAAGCCCAAGAAATTAAATAGTGGATAACATTATATAATAAAGGATAATGTCTAAGATCATGGATGTTCACTGCTGAGGAATTCTGTACTAGGACGAAAAGGCCGTCCAGTTCTTTCAGGTTTTAAAGGTGGTCTAACTTAGATCGACTAGTGAGTTTAACTGTGAAAATACTACGATCTCCACAAATCCACATACTGATATATGAGAATTTAGGAATTACAAATTTAAGTCTTAGTTAGTGACAAAACATGTTGCCTCTTTACATAATTAGTTGAATAAAAAATTTTCTTCTCTATTAATAATTCGTAGTGATATATATCAAGTAGTTAGCTAAAACTCCATTTAAAAAAGTATCCTTCAAAAGGCAGAGAACTCATCTACATAACTTTTAGTCAATTGGTATTGTTGAAAATGTCAAAGAAAAATCTAGAATTCAATTCAAGATGTCTTCTCTTAATATGATTCTTATCAATTTCGATATCTTCCCTACTGGGTTTCAAAGTCTTTATATCAGAGAAATACTCTATATTCAATGCATATTAACTAATCATTGAATCAAAGAGACTTCAACATAACTACATTGATACAAGAGTGAAGAGTTAAGGAAGGTGAAAACGTAGTATTCGACTAAGAAATCAATAATTTCAAGCAACCAGTATATCGGAACTGATCATTTAATGTTTGTTTCAAACATTAGCACATAATTTCAGATGTACTTCATAATTAAAATCAGAATTTCAGATGTATCTCAGGATTTAATCACTGAAGCTTTGGCATATTATACCTAATGAATAAAGAATAATTTTCAATAATAACTAAATATTGGTTAACCATTGAGTAGTAACCGATGTTTTGTTTGTTTAGACTTTCATGTTGATTAAATTCTGTAGATCAAGATGCATTATACCTAACAGTCTAGGTGATCTCTTCAAATATCACAGTGATAATCGATTCTCTTGAGAATGTATTCAATAATCGCTGACGTTTCTTAATTAGCTTAAAATTTAGATCCAAAGTTTCCTGCCTAACTGTTTCCAATCATTGAACATATGACCGACATTTTATATATTTTAGTTCTAAAGGATTAGGATTATGCAAAATAGTATATATTTAAAAAATCGCTGAAATCTAAGAAGCAATAAACTACTGATTTGTACAAGTATAAGATTCTTATAATAGGAAGTTTTAACCAATAGAGTCAATTAAACCAAAGAGTGAGAAAAAGAACTGTGCTACTTCAATAATGAATAAAAGATGAACCATTGAATTCAAACTCATTCATTACAATCCAACCTGCTACTCTAGAAAATCTTATATTCTGGATTTCTAGTTATAGGTATGTTGTGTTAAGTAGTTTAAGATTCACAAGTAACAGTTATCTATCAGTTGATAGTATTTGAAATGAAAGATCAACCTTGAACTAGTCTACATCTTTCCTTCGGATAAGACAACGAAAAAGCAACATTCAGACAATTATATGAAGTTGTATATCGAAAATCATATTTCTATAAAGGTTCTAACTTGAAAAAAAATATAACAGAAATAAACAACATCTAAATGTTTAAATACCATTTCACTTCAGATTTCAACTAATTGTACTGTTCATGAACTATGAAAGTTAATACAATTGCATCCACATAATAACTGAATCCATAAATTAATGATATATCTATAGTGTGTGTGTGTGTTGTTTGCCACCTTTCATTCTCTGCAATACATGATACGTAAATTATTTCTATCATACCTTTACAGAAGAATTTAATTAAATGACATTTAGATTTTTCAATGAGTGTTGAATTTAAAGGTGATGGGAAACATCCAATCCTATTTTCATATATTGCTTTCATAAAGAGTCTATTTACATTCAGTTATTCTATGTGTACGTGGATACAATTACCACTATTAGTGTATTTATTTACTGTAATTAAATAAAGTAAACATTTGACTGATGAACTTGAATCATATCAGAACGAATCTGTGAGTCCTAAATCGTATTGGTTAATAATATATACAATATACTGGAAATTGACTGAAGTTAAAATTATAATATCCTAAATAATGGATCAGTGATTTATAGAAGACTGGCTCGACTAAATGGTTTGAAGTTCTAAGTTCAAATAATTGTGTTGCTATGAGTAGAAGCCTCTTCAAAATCTTATAGTAGGACGAAACGGTCATTCAATACTGCCTAGTTTTCATTGTCTGTTCTGTTCAAGATAATTTAGGCTGCAAATTGTGAATAAAAATCTCACCCTATTGTAACAATTATGTGTAGAGAGTTGTGGAGATTGTTGAGTTTTGATTGAGATCATGAATAGATCAATGTTAGAACACCACTGAAAACCTAGGACGGCTGTTTTGTCGTAGTATAAGACTCATCAGCAGTGTACAACCACGATTTCGCACGCGGAACTCGAACCCAGGACCCTTGGTCTTCCACAAGAACGCTTAATTTCAAGACCATTGAACTGGTATCCAACACCGTAAATGTTTTACTTCAACCAATCCTCGATATTGCGTGACCGTTGTATGTTTCACTTAATGGAGATTTTTGATAACCCCAAATAGTTTTCAAAACAGTTGAACACTGATAGTGAAAATGTAAAATTTAATTTTTATGTTAATACTGTAGTATCGCCTCCTTAATGACAGTTATTGCTTTCCTATTAGTTATTGATAAAACTTTGTGCTAATAATTTTATGGCACAGGACTCGATGTAATTCCATATTATCAGAACTATCTGGGAATCAAAAAGAAAATAATTGTGTTGATATCTTTCTTCTTTTCTCCCAACATTCCAAGAATTTAAATGTTTCCTTCAACTTGGATGTTTATGTACTCCTTCTAGGATGACTTTTCAACTTTACTAATGACAACACTTAGTGTACATAAAAACTTTATCATTTTTATGTATATAACTAACAAATTCAATCACGCTTTACGATCATAGTTTTACATTATATACGAAATATTTAATGTTCAACCTCCTACTTTGGTCGTGAATGTGTTTTACTGTGAAATCTCATACTAAGATGAAACGACTCACCAGTGCATCACGACTTCCTCTGTACTTACGTATCAGATATATAGACTATGAATTTGTTGTCAGTATGCTGTTGTGGAGATTGTTGAATTTCATCTAAATAATGGGTTGATTTAATTAGGACCACCATTTAAGACGTAAAGGCACTGTGAATGGGATTCCTCAGCAACGCACATACACGACCCCATACCCGAAAATCGAACAAAGGACCTTCGAGTGTTTATCCTCTAAATCGCTGGTCCAGGGTCCAGCAGTGTGTAGGTACTACTTTAACTAATCGACAATATTGTGAAATGATACAGTACCTCCAGGTTTTTACTGATCGTCGAACTTAGGTCGGTTATGAATTCATTACCAAAGAGTTTGTAGATGAGGTTATGAAAAAAATTGTTCGCTTGAACATTCCTTGTTTTTTCAACATTTGTTAGATCATTAATTACATATTTTAAACTAGTCAGTAACAAATTGAGGCTACTTAAATTCAATAACACATTACTCATCAATTCATAAGTAGTAAATACATTTAAAGCTGTAAATTTGAGTTATTTTTCCAAGAGTAAACATTTAGTTATCTCATTAAAAGTTCTCATCTAATCATTATAAGCTACAATCTAGTGGTTCAGTAATAATTTGATCACTAACTTACACTAAAACTAAACATTGATTTAATCCGATGAATTATTTATAGTCTCGTTTTTATCCTTTGCCACATTTGTACATGACGTTAAAAGGTTTTAGATAAACTGAGAACTGTTAGT